TGTGTCTGTGATTCACTTCAAGCAAGAAACCGAGAGACAAGCTAATTTCAATGCAACACAGTTTATTTATTATTTTTAGCTTTTTTTTCTTAATTTTCAATGGTCAAGTATTTGTGATATTGTAAACCCAGGTTTATTAGTCCTTTGACAGTCCTTTCATTAAACATAAAGAAATAAGTCATACACCCCTTTACGTTACCATAACAGGTCTCCCAATAAATATTTGTTCTAAAAAAAAAAAACACAAAATCAAACTCTACATAATAACTCAAAGCAGCCTTTCATCACAAACATGCCTCTACAAAGAAACACACAGACAGATAGACAGGTACAGACAGATGGACAGACAGACAGACGACAGACAGACAGGCACACACTCCACTCCGCAGCTATCCTAACACATTTGACACAGCTTCACATTTCCTTATTCTACAAAGTTAAAGGCTGACTTGGGCTTCATGCTCCTAGATTAACATGTGGATTTGGGGTAGAGGTATATATTTTAAGAAAAATGCCCACTGTCAAGTCTCACCCTTTAGTTTCTTTAATATCCCCTTACCATTACCTCAGTTTTCCATACATTTACTTCTTTTCTTTTGACATGTATAGTAGACTATCAGTGAAAGATGACAGCATCAAACCCCAATGTTGAAAACAAACAAAAAACAGCTCATAGGGCTCGAAGCTTCCTGGAGAAGATAGATTATCTAAATAGGTTTTTATCTTTCTGAAATTACTTTTAGCATCTGTTTATTCTTGCTAAACTAAATATCAAAAGCACTGACTTTTCTGTAGGAAAGGTTGCTCCCACACACTTCTCATTTGTGCAGCGTAGAGTTCGTGACTGTGGGAATGAAAGCCAAAGGGGGCTTCTTCTCTGGGGAAATTCCCAGGTTTCCAAACACAAAGCACATGCAGTCCCTTGTCATTGAAACACTGAATTCAGAGAGAAACATGCATCTTTAATACTTTAGCACCAATGCATTTTATTTTTAATGTTGCCAAAGCCAACAGCGATAAGGTGAGTTTCTAGTCACCTTGACCTTCCTTAAGGCTGCGTAAAAATGAAGTCCTTAAATTAAACCTCTTCCAACAAACACAAATCTGGATGCAATGCAGCAGGAAGTCTGGGACAAAGCCAGGAGCAGCATCTTCGCTTCTGGTGGCACAGTAGAGACCACTATAGCCACCAGTAAAGATGAGATGAGCAAAGGGCAGAATGAGAAATGCACCTACCCTCTCCCACCAGCTTCCCAACCCCCAGGAAGAGAAAACACAGGCATGAGATTACTCACAAGTCTGGAGAACAGAATTAGCAAGGCTGGGTTCCAGGCTATTCTGGGGGTTACAGTATTCCGGTTTCTATCTGAACACATGCCATACTTGCACACACACCCTAGACAAGGGCTTGCCTTGCTAGAGGGCTCATAGGAGAGTTCCCACAGGACCTTTAGGCCCCTTCACACTGTGCTGCTGTTCCTTGGTGCAGATGGGGTTCTTTCTACAAAGCAGCCTCAAACAAACAAAAGAAAAAGACACTTCCTGTCTGTAAGTTCATTAAAGACTGTGAGCTAGAATTGTGAACCAAACAAGAAACTTTGAATGGTTGGTGAAAGATAGGATTTCTGAGACCCTCGGGAGCCCTACTCTAGAAATTTTGCGGGTGCTGGCTTCCCTGAGTGCAAGGATACAGTTTACTGTCACAGCCACTTGAGGTAATAGATAGGGTCGGTGGCTTGGTGTATATTTTCTATGTTCTTTTTAAGTCTTCATTAAGAATCTGAAAACTCATAGTTGTCTACAAGCAAAAATATTAATCTACTGACAAAAGAAAAACATAAATAACCCCCAAAGCTCATATACAATCAATCAGAACTAATCTTTTTTTCTTTTCATAAAAATTCATTTCAGGAAATTCTGTTAAGAACCTAATTAATACCAAAATTGGATGTGTTCTCAATTAAACACAACCTATAAATAAGCATTTGAGGTAAGTTACAACAAATGATTTTAATATCATACTTGGCTACATAAATGAATTCTACCTTAAAAATCTAGTTCAACACTGAGTGTGGATGCTCCCACAGGTATGTGCTATGCTTTTTTTTTTCTATTTATACAAGGAAATGTCTCTATTTTGAAGACTGTCTCTATTCTTCAAAAACAATACTACATCAAAAAGTGACACATGCTAACCTACTTTACAGTGGGCCTTTTGTCTTTGTTTACCATGAACTGTATTAAGTATTGTAAGTGAACAGTTTAGTCAGAGGGATCTGTCTCAACCCTTGTCGCTGCACTGGGCACCATCCTAAATGACTGTGTTCAACTTTTGAGTCTCGGGTATAAAAAACAAACAAGGGTACAAACATCCACTCCAGAGAAGGAGGCATGCTGCTCAAGGGAGAAATGAGCTTAGCGTACGCAAGGCCCTGAGCTCAGTCCAGCACTGCTGAAGAACATGTTTGCATGTCCTTAAAGAGAGAAACAAAATGGATGGTGAATGCTGGGAAACTATTCTGCAAATAGTCACTACATCAAATGCTAATGTGTCTCCTTACTTCCCTTTCTCCCCATCCCCCACAGCATGCCCAATGACTTTTGACCTTTTTGTTTTTTTTAAACACTAACTCCACCTCCAAGGAACAAGACATCACACAAAGGAAGAAAATCAAAATATGTTCTCCAACACTCTCCTCCCTCAGCCCTTGGGAGTTTCTAAATCAATGAGCTGGATATTGTATTTGCATATTAAAGCCAAGTAACACATTAATTTATAGAGCTGAAGGAAGAACACGGCGTTCTCTTGTCAAAACAAGTAATTCAAAGCCTATGCTCAGAAAGCAGCAATTAAAATTTCTGTTAGGAGCTGTGACTACAAGTAACACAACCAGGTTACTACAAACACAGAAGACTTTATCTTTATGTACAACTACAAGAGTCAACTCACTGGCTATGTAGTAGTCTGAGGATACTACCAGAGTCTAAAACATTAGGGGTGCAATCTTTAATTGGTACACAATCCAGAACTTCATTCCGTCATGGCCTTCACTACTTACTCCACATTCACCAACAGCTATCATAATATCAGGAAGTTCTATTCACAAATGGTAGTGAATATCCCAGGTCAATATCTTTGAGCTCTGGATTCAGCATCCCAAAAGATTTCATAGAGTAGTAATCGGTATCAACACATAACTGGTGCCCAGGCATTAGTTGCTGAACTGAATTCAAGGAAGAGAAAGGGATCAGGGCCTTTCTAATTACCCCTGGTGAATCCATCCATCTAAATACCAAACTGGGACCAACTACAGCAGAAGTCTCTTAAAATCTTAATTATCATGGAAAAATCAAGCAAGCATGCCCTCTCCAAACCTACATATCTTAGCATCGACATCAAAGGAAACTATCCCTTCTAACGGCTTAAGATTATCTACAGATGGCAAAGAGGAACACCAAGTCCCAAGAGTACATCCTCGGCTAATCTGCACTATTTTATGAGAACCTTTCATGTTTGTTACACTGGACAAAATCTGCTTCTTATAGACACTATTCAGTCTAATAGTGAAAGCCTCCTCCACAAACTCCATGTCTCCCCAAAACCACTTGACTTGTGGCCTTCCTGCATGGACAGAAATTCAATCCTATACCTAGGAAGAACATTCCCACAACTCTACTTGTGTGGCCTGCCAAGAATGTATTTGCTAAAGTCCGAATCATAGCCAGTATGCTAGCCTCTCCCTTCCAGATGAGGAAACATTTCCCAGGTACACTTTACATGACACAAATTGCTTGACAGAGAGGTCTCAATTTTATGACACATTGGGTCTTTTGGTCCCCTGCAGTCAGATCCCATGAGTCACCATCTGTCAATGAACGAACACTGTCAAGAGGTCTCCATCTTAAGACCCATATAGAAAGCACTCTGAGTAGTGCCTAAGACAAGTGATAGTGCTGTCAATGAACAACTGTCAATGAACCCAAGGTGTCTTTAGGAAGGGAAACAGTCTGTCTCAGAATCACTGCAGAAAGGATATGAGTGCAGGGGCACTGTGAAATGATGCTAGCTCTGAAAAAGAGGGATTCAGTACGGTAGACTCATTTGCTTCACCATCCTAACTCATTACTGAATGTAGGATGTTATTTTGTGTTCAGCTGACAAATCTCCCATCTCCTCTACAGTGATTGTCATATCCCAGATACAGCCTTCCTGACTGAATTATTCACTTTCTGAAGCAACCTCGGCCATTTTCTAGTCAGAAAAAAAAATCAGTAGAGATTTGCCATTATGTTGAGGGTATAAGTGAAATAAATCCCCAGGAGGGAAATTCTTAATCAACTACTTTCATGTCAAGGTAGTAGTAACTCTTAGATACTTTCAGTGTGTTCTTCAGAGTTGAATTTTAACAGCCATTTTCCCAGATGAGAAAGCCATCATGCTCTTCCTTGTTAAGCATTTCAAATTACAGTTTCTAGTCATATTGTTTAGCACACTAGTTTTAAAGCCCCTTATGAAAGAATACTGTAGTTTAAATATTCAATATTCAAGCTACCAGATGTATGATTCAGCAGCCTCTTGATCTACTTTATGATGGAGTAAACAGACTAAGAGAAAACTATATCTTAGGAAATTCTGTGGTCATTCATTACATTGCATATACAGTTCTTTGAAGCATTTGAAATTTTTCTACCTGATTGATACGTCTGCTATGGCTTAAAATGCTATTACCAGTGCTTTAGGGAAACATTCAGCTTTCTATTATCAAAAAAACCATAACTGCTTCATTCTCTGAAAGCCAAAGGGGCACACCACACTTCCATTGTTCCAATCCAATTGCATAGTTGAGGCAAATTCAGTTGTGCTTTGGAGCAGAACTCACAGTAGGTGTTCAAATCTAAAAACTCTGACTTGCACATGCAAAGTCATGGTCAAGCTCACCTTTCTCTGGAGTGTATGCTAATGATATGTGTAGTCATAGCCTTTCCCATGGTTAACCATGGACCTCAGGCTTCTACCAAACAGGTGCATGAGCATTAAATGAACCCAGCAGAAATGGTAAGAGATGTATCTAAGCTCCTCCCTGAACAAAAGAGGGGGAAGGCTTTCGGTCTTGTTGAGGTATCCAGCCCTCAATCAATAGTGGCTGTGTATAGTGAGTTTTGTTGGTTTGAGGATTGTGTCTGTGGAGGTTTAAAAAAGGAACATAGAAGGCACAGGTGTTTCTCAACTTGCCATATTCGACTCAACCAACAAAACATGTCTTCCTTTTCCAGGCTTCAGCAGGGACACTACAGAGCAGCATTGGGGCTCTCGTCCAGCCCAGGGTCTGCAGAGGAACTTATTGCTTCTGAGAAAGGCCCAGGATAAGTCTGTGTGGTGCCTGAGAATCCTTTTTGCCGACCAGTTTCTTCATGGAATTCCCCTTGGGTGCTGAAGGCTGGGCATGATGTAGTCCCTGCATATTTCTCAGCTTTGTTGGGCTGGCCCACTAGTTCACTCACAGTGCTCAGTGGGAATTCTCTGCACCTCCGCCTCTGAAGTTCATTCTCTTTGTATTTGATAGAGTACCAGGCCAGGAAAATAAAAATAAAGCCAACAAATTTGAGGCCAGCCGCCAAACCGAAGTAGACGAAACGAAAGGACGTCACGTTGTACTCCCAGCAAGATCCCTGCACTCCACATTCTTGCTGCCAGAGCATACAGGTGGTGTCAATCACAGCTCCAAAGTAAATTGGAGTAGGAATGTATGCTGCAGTCATGGGGAGAAAGAGAAACAGAAAGATATAACATCCCATAAGAGAAAATAGATTTGTGATTAGCAAGGTTTGTCAAATGCCAAGAGAATGATTTTTGTTTAATTGAATTTTCTTAATGACGTTTTCATCTAATTGCAATTTCCTTATGAAAATAAACACCAAAGACATAGCATTTTCAACTTTATAACTCAGACTGCCTTAGTGCTTTTTAGGTTGATAAAAATAGCTACTGCTTTGTATGGTTACCGAGTCCTTCCACTGGACACTTGTGGTAGAATTTTGACAGTGAAACTTCAGTAGAGTTGAAAGAACTGTCTATGGTCAAAAGTGACAACATGAAATCCTGTCAAACTGATAATTGGTTCTTGTCCCCCTGAAGTCAGGTTGGAGCAGGATAGAAAGACAAGGAATGTTAAGAGGACATGGGAATGGGAAGAGACCCTTCACCCTGGAATCTGGGCTGAGTCTTTTGAAGCTTAGAGTCAAGAAATTCAGCACTAAGGGCTGGGGAGGTAGCTCCATGGGTAAAGTCCTTGTTGTGTATGTCTGAGGACAGGAATTCAGATCTCTAGAACCCACATTAAAAAAAAAAATAAAAAAAAAACTGGGCATGGCAGCCAGTGTCTGTCATGCCAGAGCTGGAAGGAAGAGACAGGCAGGTCCCTGGGGGTTCCCTGGTCAGCTCTCCATTCAAAATATTCAACTACTTCAGGTTCAGGGAGACCTTGACTCATAAAAGAAGATAGAACTACATGTGGAGGTGCAGATCTTTAATACCAGCACTCCAGAGGCAGAAGCAGGAGGATGTCTGTAGCTCAAAACCAGTCTGGGCTGGTTATAATAAGTTCAAGGCCAGTCAGGAATATGTAGTTTGACCCTATAACACAATCAGGAATATGTAGTTTGACCCTATAACAATAAATACATAAATAAATAATAAAGTAGAAAAACAATTGGGGGAAGATGTCTAAATGCCAACCTCTGGCTTCAACACAAGTCCCACACTACCAACAGCCCCCGCCCCTACATCCACACAAAGAAGCTCAGCACAATTAACAAAATAAACTATTATCTACATGAAGACAATATTCTTTTATATGGAGGTATTTCAAAAAAGAATGTTAAAATAGCAAAAAGTATGCAAAAGGCCTACATGCTAAGGACCTTTCTCAGCTGTACACCTTGGTTTTTGTTTGTTTATTTGAGACTATCACAGACAAGATCATGACCCTGTTTATAGTGTAAACACATCTTAACTCCATGGTGAGCCAGTTTAATGGGGTATTCAACCAAGTGACCTATAGTTTTGTCTTATCAGCCTACAATCCCATCCAATGCACTTCAAAAACCACCCTCTGATCTCATCTACTGAAAAACTAAAAACATTTTTTAAAGTTTCTTAGAAGCTCTTTAAACACAGTAAGTTCAGAGGCCACCAAAATTGGGTATATGGCTAGTGATAAGACATTAGATTGCCACGCTGTCCTGAGAAGCCCAGCACCACAAGTGGATACTGACTGTCACTGTCCTAAGCGCTTGCCACCAGCGTGGGCCATGCTCAAGTGTCTGATTAGTATACTCGACTCAACTTCCTACTGACTCATCCTGAAATGCTTTTCTCTAGCTCAGTGAAGAACCCCACCTCTCCAGACTGGGAATCTGATGGAGCAAGCTTGGCAGGCCACTAAAGGATACAGCATAGAGCTGCCCTTTCACTCAGACCCACTGCTGCTGACAAGATCCACTTCCAATGGCAACTTCACAAAGGTGTTTGGTGTGTGGAGATAACCTCTGCCTACATCTCTGAACCTTCTTAAAGATCCAGGAGGAGTAGAAGCTCTGATGTCTGGGCTGTGTGTGACAGATGCCTCTTCCAATTTCACAAGAAAGCAAGCTTAACTAGATAGAATTCCACCACACCCATGGCCAAAAATGTGCCCCCACCTCAAACTCATTCATCTGGCTTTTAACCCCTGGATCACATGGACACCACTCTGCTGCCATTATGTCCTGTATGTACCTTAGCATCATCAACTACCAAAGAGCATTTACTTAAAGCCTCTGCCATTTGTCACCCCATACAGTCCTTGGTACAGAGCCTACTCCTTTTTTGTGCTGTGCATTCTAAGAACTTGTGTCACAGTGCACAGAGGTAAGGCCTGATAGGTTGAAACATGGAAGGAAGGAGAGAAGACAAGAAAGAAAGATGAAATGAAACAGGACATCTAGGATGTGGCAGTCAGGAAAAGAGACTGGCAGATCTCTCTGAGTTCGAGGCCAGTCTGGCCTACAGAGTGAGTTCCAGGATAGCCAGGGCTACACAGAGAAATCCTGTATCAAAAAAAAAAAAAAAAAAAAAAAAAATTTTCTTAGAAAAAATGACATTCAATTTCAGAGTTCACATGGAAGGACAGAAAGGAAGAACACATCTACCAGCTCATGAGTCTGTGAATGGGACATTTTAAAGTAATTTCTGCTTATTAAAAATGAGGTCTCCAGGCTGGTGAAACCCACAGAAACAGCTGACCTGAACATCGGGGAACTCTTGCTCCCCAGACTGATAGCTGGAATACCAGCACGGGACTGATCCAGACCCCAGGAACATGGGTTTCAGTGAGGAAACCTCAAAAATCTACAGGACCTCCTGTAGTTGTTCAATACTTATCCTTAGCATAGGTGTGGACTTTGGGAGCCCATTCCACATAGAGGGATACTCCCTGAGCCAAGACACATGGGGGTGGGCCTAGGCCCTATCCCAAAGGATATGATAGACTCTGATGACACCCTATAAAAGGCCTCACCATCCAGGGGGAGCAGAAAGGATATGTGATAGGTAGGAATTTAGTTGGGGGGGTGGTAGGGGAGGACGGGAGGGAGAGGGAACTGGGATTGTCATGTAAACCTTATTTCTAATTCAAATAAAAAATCTGCAACAAAAAAAAAGAAAAAGAAAAAAAGAAAATGAGGTCTCAGGGCTGGAGACACTGATTGCTCAACAGTTAAGAGAGCTGACTGATTTTCCAAAGTTATGAGTTAGGTTCCCAGTCCCCACTTAGGCAGCTCACAGTCACCCTTACTCCACCTCCAGGGCATCCAACAACTCTGGCCTCCTGGGGCAGCTCCACTCCCACGCACATACCTACACACATTCACATATAAATGCACATAGTTAAAAATAATAAAATAAATCTTTAAAATAAAGCTTACTGGTAAGATTAAATGATAGCTTTCTTAAAGGACTAAGAAGCTCTTTGTCTTGAAATTTGGGAAAAATCAAATTCGAGTGGTTAGCTTAACTACACATCTGCACACTCAATATAAGTGAAGACAAAATTGAGCTGAGGAACAGGCGCCAGGTGTTGTTCTTTCCTGGCTTATTAATGATCATGCAGGTGGCTGTCCTTTGCCCCAGATTCATGTCAAATAACCCAGCTCCCTTTAGAAATGAGCAGAGCCAACTTAAATTTTTTTCTCTCTCTTTTTTTTTAAACTCACTCATCACTTTGACAAATTCCTGTCTTTAAAAACATCTTTCTTTTTTTTTTTAACCAGGCACATGGTACCCAACTATAATCTCAACATTTGGGAAGAAGAGATGGGAAGAAATCACCATAAACTGAAGGAACACCTAAGAAATTCCAGGCCAGGTAGGACTGTACGAATAGCAAGACCCTGTCAAAAATAAATAAATAAATACAAACCACTAAACAACAACAAAAGCAGCACCTTTTACTTGACGACAGAAAGCACAAGGCATAATTCTTAACTGTGTGCAATTGTATCTGAGTCCTCTTTAACCAGCAACCTTGAAATAACAAAGTCCCATTGGCACCAAACAACAAACCACACCAGGGACTTCTTCCTGCTGGCAGTTAACTGTACTTTACTTTGGCCTTCAGGCCACCAACTCTGACTCATTGCAAGCAATTCCAGGGATTGTGGATGCTTCAAAGGGGAGGAAGGTACCATTTAAAGATATTTCACCCTTCAATGGGAATTAAAAACAAACCAGTTTTTTTTTTTTCCCTTGTCCCATGGACAATGGTTCTGATTAGTCAGGGGAACACCAGCTGAAGAAAATGACAGACTGCCACTTAAGGGAAATAAGCTTGAGGAAGTCAACTGAGGGACTGTCACACTGATGAAGCAGTGGGCAGCTTCCAGGTCCATTTCCCACTTCAGGGTCCCGAGACTTCAAGGAGTGATGTGTTATCTTCGTGTTCTATTCACACTGACACACAGGGCTGTCCTTGCTGGTGTGTGAAGCCTCTTTGTAATTTTGTGGCCTTTCTTTTTTTGCTTTTTAAGATCTTTTCCTCAGTAAACTCTACAAGTGTACTCTTCAATCAAACCAATAAAATTATCCTAAAGCAGTAAGAAATGGAAAGTGTCACTAATAATATACACCTGTTTCCCACACATTCATGTCAGAAGGCAGCAAGAGATCAAAGAGCCAGGATAACAAGGTCATTGCAAATGTCTTGATCTCATATTCCTTAGTGTATAAAACTCTGGGGGAATTCTGTACAAGTTTGTATTCAGAGTCAAAAAGAAACCAACCTAAATTCTACTTTCTATTGTCTTATCGAATGACCTTGTCAACTTCTAGTTCAAATCGAAAAATGAGGACGTGAAAGCGTTCTCTAACCTGTCCAGTCTACCCGCTAGGGCACCAAGTGACTCAGCCTGCATTTTAAAAGGATGATAGCATTTGCCTGTCACAAAGGGAGATGAAGGGCACACTGGGGAATCCAGGGACATACCAAGTGTTCGCAACAAAACAAACTGCATTCCCAGTGCGAAGGGTCTTTCCTCGTCTTCCACGGACCTGGAGGTAAACAAAAGAAAATGATGCTTTATAACAGTGGCTCCAAGACAATGCCAGTAAAATGGAGCCTCCTTAGGCAGAGCAATACACTAAGATACTTTCCCAAAATAGTTAATCCACTAGAATGCACTGCCAGTCACCACCCCAGACACCCTGGGTGAATCACAGACTAGACATGTCTCCTCCAGAGACAGATTAGTTCTGTTTCTGTGTGAATAATGGAGGAGGGGCAAGATTCTTGACTGAAGAGCTGGGGGCTTCTCTAAATGAGCCCCCCAATTCCTTCTAAGAAAAACATGTAAACATTTTTTTCTTTTTTTTTTGCAGATTTTTTTATTTGAATTAGAAACAAGATTGTTTTTTACATGACAATCCCTGTTCCCTTCTTCCTTCTATCCTCCCCTACCGCCCCCCCCCCAACTAAAACCTTACCTATAACATATCCTTTCTGCTTCCCCTGGATGGTGAGGCCTTCCATAGGGTGTCATCAGAGTCTATCATATCCTTTGGGATAGGGCCTAGGTCCACCCCCGTGTGTCTTGGCTCAGGGAGGATTCCTCTATGTGAAATTGGCTCCCAAAGTCCACACCTATGCTAAGGATAAGTACTGAATTACTACAGGAGGTCCCGTAGATTTCTGAGGGAAACACACTGAAACCTACATTCCTGGGTTCTGGATCAGTGCCATGCTGGTTTCCCAGCTATCAGTCTGGGGAGCAAGAGTTCCCCGATGTTCAGGTCAGCATCAGCCTGGTCTGGACCCCTTTCCCTATCCCTCGTCCTTCTCTGCATCTGGATTCCAACTCAGTTCAGTGATTAGTTGTGGGTGTCTGCTTCTACTTCCACCATCTGATAGATGAGGGCTATCGGGTGGCATATAAGTCAGTCATCAATCTCATTATCAGGAGAGGGCATTTAAGGTACCCTCTCCTCTGTTGCTTAGATTGTTAGCT